GTACAAAAATTGGCTGGACGTGGTGGCGCGTGCTTGTAGTACCAGCTATTGGGGAGGCCGAGGCAGGAGAATTACTTGGACCCAGGAGGCAGAGGTTGCAGTGAGCTGAGATTGCGCCACTGCACTCCAGCCTGGGCAACAGAGTGAGACTCCATCTCAAAGATATCTTGAGGACAGTGACTACTCTAGGGCTTTTTGCCTTTGCAAGACATACCCCAAGACAGTGGTGAATTTTTCATTCTAGGGTCAGCTTTTCATGTTATTTCCATCTCTTCCCCTCCGTCGGGCTACCAGAAGTCCTCAGCACTTATAATTCCCTTCTTCTAATGTCCTCTAACCTGAGCAAACACATAGCCAGTCTCGTTAGAAAAAGTGGCCAAAAATTAAAACTAAATCTCAGTAAAGCACAGAAGTTTTAGTGTGTAGAACTTGTTATGCTTGTTCTTGCTTTACAGACTTCTGTTTCCCCTGTGTCTGTGTTCTTGACTCTTTTTCTAAATAGATAGTGAAGCTACCAGAGACGTGATTTCCAGATAAGATACAAGGTAACAGTGATTTCCTAATCGACTTTTAAAGAGAACTGATCAAAGGCTGAACTCAGGGCAAGCTCATCAAAACCCCCAACTCAAGCTTTTGGAGAGTTCTTGAATTGTGTTGGCTGTTCTGATCCCACGGGGAGTTTTATGCACTTGTTCTTTCAGCAGCCTCAGTATCCCCTGGGAACTTGAGACATCTAAGGAGTTGACTGAGGCCCCTCCCTGACATACTGAAGCAGAATGTGCATTTTAGCAAGATCTGCACGTGAATTTTGAGCATGTGAATGTTTGAGAAGCCCTGATCTGTAACACATTTAGATTCTTTCGTATACCCCACACCACGTGCTCTTAAAGATTTATTCCAACAGTAACATTTCTCTTTCCCTCTCTGCCTCTCTCTTTCTCTCACTGGGAGCAGGTTGTAAGTTGTTTCCACTTTGCATGTGTTTCATTTTCTCTTTTTGTTTTGAGACAGGGTTTCACTGTGCCATCCAAGCTGGTATACACTGCCGAATACTTATAAGGCCCTTGATACTATTTGATGGGATGAATGCAAAAATTGAATTTAAAAAATGAATTTTTTTGGCCAGGCGCGGTGGCTCACGCCTGTAATCCCAGCACTTTGGGAGGCCGAGGCGAGTGGATCACCTGAGGTCAGGAGTTCGAGACCAGCCTGACCAACAAGGTGAAACCCCGTCTCTACTAAAAATACAAAAATTAGCTGGGCATGGTGGCAGGTGCCTGTAATCCCAGCTACTCGGGAGGCTGAGACAGAAGAATTGCTTGAACCCAGGAGGTGGAGTTACAGTGAGCCGAGATCACGCCACTGCACTCCAGCCTGGGCAATAGGGCGAGACCCCATCTCAAAAAAAAAAATGAATTTTTTGAAGAGATAGGGTCTCACTCTGTCATCCATGCTGGAGTACAGTGGTGTGATCTTAGATTACTGTAACCTGAAATTCCCCGGGCACAAGTGATCCTCTTGCCTCAGCCTCCCAAGTATCTGGGAGTACAGGTGCACACCACCACACCCAGCTAATTTTGTATTTCTTGTAGAGATTGGATCTCACTTTGCTACCTAGGCAGGTCTCAAACTCCTGGCCTCAAGTGATCCTCCCTCCTCAGCCTCCCAAAGTGCTGGGATTACAGGTGTGAGCACCCAACCAGTGTGTTTCTTTTTAAATGGACAAAAGTGGAGAATTTCATCCTGTCTATGGTTCTTCTTTATTAGTCTACCAGCTCCTTTGAGTCCCCCTTTTTATGATTTGGAAATTATTTATTCCTTCGGGAGCAATAAACAAATAGTTCCAAATTGCTGCTGCTCCTTTTGTCTTCAATAAGAGGTAGACACTAGGATTAGGGATGGTGGTTGGAGGATGAAAAAGTAAAAACCCTGCATAGAGTGTCTGTTGCAAATAAAGAGCTTGGTGAATATGGTTGCTGTTCTGATGTTTCCAAAGTGTTTTACTCTTTGTCATTTAATAAGATTTTTTGAAGTTATGACTATAATTTGATAGAAACATATAGATACTATATATATGCCACCGTGATCACAAAAATAGAGATGCAATCACATTTTTAAATCTCTTTTAATTAAAACTCACTTGAGGCCAGGCATGGTGGCTCACGCCTGTAATCCCAGCACTTTGGGAGGCCGAGGTGGGCAGATAACCTGAGGTCAGGAGTTAGAGACCAGCCTGGCCAACACAGAGAAACTCCATCTCTGCTAAAAATACAAAAATTAGCCGGTCGTGGTGGCACATGCCTGTAATCCCAGCTACTCGGGAGGCTGAGGCAAGAGAAACACTTGAACCCAGGAGGCAGTAGTTGCAGTGAACCAAGATTGCGCGACTGCACTCCAGCCTGGGCTACAGAGCAAGACTCTGTCTCAACAAAAAAAAAAAAAAAAAAAAAAAAAAGGAAAAAGAAAAAAAGAAACCTCACTTGAAAATGGATTAGAAAACCACAGTTGAAAAGGGAGTAACTAGTTGACTCACCACATTTTTCATTTTCAGTCAGGCATAGTGGCTCACGTCTATAATCCCAGCACTTTGGGAGACTGGAGTTTGAGGCCAGGAGTTTGAGACCAGCCTGGGCAACACAGAAAGACCCCATCTCTACAGAAAACTTAAAAATTAGCTAGGTATGGTGGTGGTACACACTGATGAAGACCTACAAAGCCCTTGATACTATTTGATAGGATGAATGCAAACATTTAATTTAAAAAATGAATTCAATTCCTGTAGTCCCAGCTACTGGGAGGCTAAGGTGGGAGGATCACTTGAGTCTAGAAGTTCAAGGTTGAAGTGAGCTATGATCACACCACTGCACTCCAGCCTGGATGACAAAGAGAGACCCTGTCTCTAAAAACAAAACAAAAATTTCATATTTATTCAGTTTTTACATTCATCCTAACAAATCTTATCAAGAAAGTGTTCAGCAGTGTGGTGAGATTCAAAGATGAATCTCCATAGTCCTTAGGTAAGGTTGCTCTCAGCTGGTAAGAAAAAATAAGATGAATGCACATTAGTAAGTGTAATCAACAAAGGAATTGCTGGCCGGTTGGAATGACTCATGCGTGTAATCCCAGCACTTTGAGAGACTGAGGCAGGAGGATCGCTTGAGCCTAGGAGTTCGAGATCAGCCTGGGCAACATGGTGAAACCCTGGTCTACTAAAAATACCAAAATTAGCCATGTGTGGTGGCACACGCCTGTGGTTCCAGCTACTGGGGAGGCTGAGGTGGGAGTATTGCTTGAGCCACTGTAGAGTTCAAGGCTGCAGTGAGTCATAGATTGTGCCACTACACTCAGCCTGGGTGACAGAGTGAGACCCTGTCTCAAAAATATAAAAAAAAGAAAAAGAAAAAGAAAGAACGAATGAAAGAAAGAGAGAAAAAGAAAGAAAAGAGAGAAAGAAAGAAAAGAAAGAGAGAAAGAAAGAAGGAAAGAAAAGAAAGAAAGAAAAGAAAGAAGAAAGAAAGAAAAAGAAAGAAAGAAAGAAAGAAAGAAAGAAAGAAAGAAAGAAAGAAAGAAAGAAAGAAAGAAAGAAAGAAAGAAAGGGGAAGGAAGGAAGGAAGGAAGGAAGGAAGGAAGGAAGGAAGGAAGGAAGGAAGGAAGGAAAGAAATTGCTAAGTGCTGTTAGTTTATCAATTAAGCTGGTTTAGGTACAAGAAACTGATGTGATAATTTAAGCAAAAAAGTTTATTGGAAGGGTAGGAGGGTATTGGGGTATATTATTCAGGACAGGCTAGGTCATGCTGCTATCACACACATTCCCAAAATTATTATTTCTAGGTCATGCAATCTACCACATTTGGATCAGCAGGAGGCTCTGCCCTCCTCTCACTCAGACTAACGGAGGTTCCACCGTCTATCTGGTGGCTGCAGCCCTGAAACATGGAGCCTTATTGGTGTGACCATGGCAGGGGAAGAAAGAGGCTGGGGGTTTGCACAGGGGGTTTTTACTGCCTCAGCCTGAAAGTGACATGTGTCCTTTCTACTCTAGGATCACTGGTCAGAACTAGTCACGAGATCTTCCCTAACTGCCAGAACGCTGGGAAATGAAAGGGAACAATGGAATCCTTGGCGAGCATTACTGTCTCTACTCCAGGGTGGCTCGTAGACTCAAATGAAAATGCTGGAGCCTCAGATCTGGGACTGAATGTGGACCAGAGAACTTGGGAGACCTTGCCAGCAGCAGCGGATGGAGGTCTGGTCAGGCTGTCATCCATTTTCAGCTATCTGTCACCCTCTCAGGATTTGCACTGGAGAAAGAGTGAGAGGAGAGAGAGAGACAGAGAGAACAACTGATTGGCCCAGGCAGGTTCTATGTCCCACTCGAAACACGTTAGTGGACAACTTGATTGACATTCGAGTTGCACTAAAAGGTGGTGGGGGGAGTTCATCCAAACAAAATTGGGGGGCTGTTACAACAAGAGAGGGAGGGTGGGTGCATTGTGAGCAAAAGCACACACTTGCTGCAGAGCTGGTCCAAATACCCACTCTTCAGAGTTGACATCATCTGGAAGGTTTGTAGAAGTGGGGGCTTTCCAGATTAGCTTTGAAGGATGGGATAACTGATGCAGAGGAAAGGTAATGCAGGCTGAGAGGCCCGTGTAAGCAAAGTGAAGCTGCAGAAGAGTGCAATAATTTGCAAGAAAGAGAAGGCTGGCTGGGTGCAGCGGCTCACACCTGTAGTCCGAGCACTGTGGGAGGCCAAGGTGGGAGGATCCCTTGAGCCCAGGAGTTTGAGACCAGCCTGAGCAACGCAAGGAGATTCCATATCTACGAAAAATTTAAAAATTAGCCAGGCATGGTGGTGCATGCCTATAGTCCTAGCTACTCGGGAGGCTGATGTGGAAGGATTACCTAAGCCTTGGGAGGCTGAGGCTGCAGTGAGCCATGATTTTGCCACCACACTCCAACCTGGGCAACAGAGTGAGACCCTGTCTCAAAAAAAAAAAAAAAAAAAGAAAGAAAGAGAAGGCTATTGAGATTGAACAGAGGATATGATTCGCAGTTACATTTTCCCAGCTCATCTTTGCTTCCCATGGTGTCAACTCAGGGGATGCAAATGGTTGGAATGGCTCAAACTACATCATGAGATTAGAGCCTGGTCCTCTATGTTGACTGAGAGTCTCAGTTCTCCTCCACGTGGCCTCTCCTTGAGGTCAGCTTACATTTCCTCAAAACGTGGCGGCCTCAGGGCAGTTGGGTTTCTTGTGCGCTGGCTCAGGGCTCCTGAGAGGATAAAATCAGAATATCTTGTTCTTCGTCAGGCTTGGGCCCAGACTAGCACAGCATCATTATCTTTTTATTCTGTGAGTTAACGTATTTCAGAGGACCAGTGCCAATTCGGAGTGGAGAGGGCTGCATAAGAACACGAATACTGGGAGGTGGCTTCATTTGGGGCCATCTTTGGAGACCAACTACAGTGCATGATGTAACTGCCCTGAATTCCCAAGCTCCTATCCCCAGCTCCAGCATAAGGTAGGTAAGAAGTGACTGGCAGCATAAGTGGGTCATGTTGGAGGAAAGATAAGTCTGGAGCTGAGCTTTCCAGGTGTTCGGTGCCACAGATGAAAATGATGGTGCTAGGGAGGAGGTAGGGCAGGAGGTCTTTCTCTTCATGGGCCTCTTCCCAGATTTCCCCTGTGTATCTTGTTGACTGAAACTGAATCACATCAGCACCTCTTACTGCAAGGAAGCCTGGGCAAGTCAGAATCTGTGAAAGGGAAGTGGGATTGTTATTTCTGGCCTAAGTCAACCCTGATTCATTCTCCAGGCATGTGTGGGCCATCGCAGCTTGAATTAATCAGGACGGAAGAAGAGACGCAATGATACCGGCCAGTGATCCGTGGTGGGAGGTCAGTACAAACCTACCCCAAAGGCTGGAGAAGCTGAGAGGCTGAAGAAAGAGGCTGATAAACCCAGTTTCTCCAAGGAAAAATTTTGTTGTTGTCGTTGGTGTTGTTTTTAGAGGCAGGGGCTTACTCCATCACCCAGGCTAGAGTGAAGTGATGTGATCGTAACTCACTACAGCTTTAACCTCCTGGGCTCAAGCAATCCTCCCACTTCAGCCTCCCGAGTAGCTGGGACTACAAGTCACACACCACCACACCTGGCTAATGTTTTTTAATGTTTTGTAGAAACAGTCTCACTATGTTGTCCATGTTGGCCTCAAAGCCCTGGGTTCAAGTGATCCTCCTACCATGGTCCCCCAAAGTGTTGGGATTACAGGCTTGAGCCATGGTTCCTAGAAAGAAGCATTTAACTGGGACTTGCGAACGAGAAGTCTCGTATCCAGTGGCTTAGAAATAGTGGACCCCATGCGCTGCTACCTCCCAGACCCCAAGACCAGGGCTTATATACCATAGGGAAGTTGCCTAAGGGCAGGATTTATGATTAGCATGTGTTCATGATAACATCAAGGTTGTTTTGACCTAAGGGCTGGCTTTCCAGTAAGTAGAAATCTTAGAGGCATTCCTGGAACTGGGGTGAATCTTAAGTCAACATGGTGAATCAGCATCCAAAATGGAGTTGCTTTCGCCTCACGGTAGGCGACATACAGAGGATGCCATGAGCAACAAAAAACAGGGAAAGCAGCTGGGAGGATGTAGCTTTACTTCAGGTGAGAGGAGGGTGGGGGCTGGACCAGGGCAGAAGCAGTGAGGAGTGGGAAATAAGCCAGATGTGAAAATAAACACAGAAGTGGAGGGTACAGCATGGAATACTATGCAGCCATAAAAAAGAATGAAATCGCCAGGTGTGGTGGCTCACGCCTGTAATCCCAGCACTTTGGGAGGCTGAGGCGGGCAGATCACAAGGTCAAGAGATCGAGACCATCCTGGCTACCACAGTGAAACCCCGTCACTACTAAAAATACAAAAAAAGAATGAGCCAGGCGTGGTGGCGGGTGCCTGTAGTCCCAGCTACTCGGGAGGCTGAGGCAGGAGAATGGCACGAACCCAGGAGGCAGAGCTTGCAGTGAGCCAAGATCGCACCACTGCACTCAAGCCTGGGGGACAGAGTGAGACTCTGTCTCAAAAAAAAAAAAAAAAAAATGAAATGAAATCATGTCCTTCAAAGCAACGTGGATGCAGCTGGAGACTATTATCCTCAGTGAATTAACACAGGGACAGAAAACCAAATACTACATGTCCTTGCTTATAAGTGGGAGGTAAACACTGAACACACATGGTCATAAACATGGGAACAATAGACACGAGGGACTACTAGAGGAAGGAGAATGGGAGGGGGCGAAGGTTGATACACTTCCTATTGGGTACTATGCTCAGTACCTGGATAATAGGGTCATTTGTACCCCAAACCTCAGTGACACACAATTTACCCATGTGACAAGCCTGAACAGCTACCCTTGAAACCTAAAAGCTGGAAAATAAAAAAAGAGGCAGGGTGCATAGCCCATGGCTGCTTGTGACTGTCTTTCATAAGCAAGAATGGGAAAGAGAGACAGACAGACAGAGAGGGAAGTCAACAATGACAGCATCATTTGCAGCTTGCTTAATTGGATGGTGACACCATCCAAGCACAGAAGGAGAAGTTAGCTCGGCGAGAGACAATGACTTTGTCCTAGGCATTCTGAGGGCAAGGGGTGTGAGAGAACATGCTCAAAGTGTGGGTCATGAAACACGAGGGCGTGGGGCCAGGTCGGGGGGCTCACGTCTGGAATCCCAGCACTTTGGGAGGCTGAGGCAGACGGATCACATGAGGTCAGGAGTTCAAGACTAGCCTGGCCAACATGGCAAAACCCCGTCTCTACTAAAAATACAAAAATTAGCTGGATGTTGTGGCACACGCCTGTAATCCCGGCTACTTGGGAGGCTGAGGCAGAAGAATCGCTTGAACCCAGGAGGTGGAGGTTGCAGTGAGCCAAGTTCGCATCACTGCACTTCAACCTGGGTGACACAGTGAGACCACCTTGTCTCCTAAGTAAATAAATAAATAAGTGAATAAATAAATAAATAAAATGCTAGGGCATGGGAGACTTTAAACAACCAATGCAGAGCTGTAGTCAACGCCATGCTATGGGCTGGGTGCAGTGGCTCATGCCTGTAACCGCAGCACATTGGGAGGCCAAGGTGGGAGGATTGCTTGAACCCAGGAGTTCAAGAATAACCTGGGCAACATAGGGAGACCACATCTCTAAAAACAAAATAAAACCAAAACAAAATCACCATGCTATGGAATGATGTGTCTGCTTGTGCCCAGGTCTGGAAGAATGCACACCCAATGCTCATAGAGGTTCCATCTGGGAAATCAGATTGGACAGGGCCAGAATAGATCCAGGGGAAACATTCACTGAATATATATACTTATGTATTGTGGAAGCTTTGATGGTGGTCATGTACCAAGAAGGGAAAAAGTAAGTTTATAAATGAGCAGAACCAGAAGGAGAACGCTAGAGGAAAAAGGAGAGGACGTGAATGATTATATTTAGAGGGTAGGATGAGAAGTGAGAGGAGGTGATTAGAGAGGTGAGGAGGAACCAGGCGGATGGGTATGGAATCTTGGAAATCAACAGAAGAGGGCATTTCATGAAGAATGAACAGCTGCAGAGAGAAAAAGATTGCATGAGAACTGGGAAAAGAAACGCTTTGTGTTTGGTGACATTGTCATAGTTGACCCTAGAAAGCGTGGTTTGAGTAGAGTGGTCCAAAAGAGAAGGATACTGGAAGGAGCGGATCAGTACCAGAGATGAACTATGGTCATATATAAAGAAATGTGATGACATAAGGAAAGAGAGCACTCACTGGGGTCGAGAAATGATATTTCTTGGCTCTGGGAGAGTGATCATATCCTTAAATTTTTTTTTTTTTTTCGAGACAGTCTCACTCTGGCACCCAGGCTGGAGTGCAATGGTGCCATCTCGGCTCGCTGCAACCTCTGCCTCCTGGGTTCAAGTGATTTTCGTGCTCAGCCTCCTGAGTAGTTGGGACTAGGCACCTGCCACCATGCCTGGATAATTTTTGTACTTTTAGTGGAGACGGGGTTTCACCATGTTGGCCAGGCTGGTCTTGAATTCCTGACCTCAAATGATCTGCCCACTTCAGCCTCCCAAAGTGTTGGGATTACAGGCGTGAGTCGTTGCACTTGGCCTTAAAATGTATATTGACACCACTCCTCACTTCTAGCTTGTTTTTGACCTGCAAACCAAGAAGTAAGCATTACATCAACCTGTACAAGGTGCACATCAGTGATTCCTGCAACATCCTGCATCATGATGGGACCGGTAGTTGATGTGGTAAAAATATGTTGTGCATTTGTCTTTCCCACGAAATTTTTTCTAGCCACAAAATTAACCAGAAATAAGAGAAGCATAGCCCCATCCCCCCTTTTCTCAGCAACACAGAGAAGCAATGTCTCCAACACAAGAGAATGAATAACCTGCCAAAAACTAAGTTAGAAATACTGATGAAACCAGGTTAGATGATATGCCATGGTTTCTCTGCTATCCCACAGCAGATTGAAATCATGTTACAATTTGATGACGGGGTGTCCTAGAGCAAATGAACAAGGCTGTGCCAGCAGAAGTGAAGCCTGAGGATTTGGGGTCATTCACTTGTGAATGATTCCACTCTCCCTGTCTTCTTTCTCTTCCTTTTGTGCTGTATTTTTTTCACGTACTCACTCTCTTTTCCACAGATAGACTGCGGAACTGCCCATGAGGCCAAGCACCTATTAGTAGACCAAGAAGCATCATCCATCCGTGACCTAAGCTGGCAGCCAGCTATTGTTCTCATCTGAGTCTGGGAGTTCAGGATTTCTATCCGGACCCGGCTACTTTCTTTCGACAGTTACCCACTGTAAATTTCCGAATACTTTCAGCTGCTAATCCTGGTGTACCCAATTAAAAATGCCTTTCCTAATAAAGGCATTTCAGATAGAATTTAGCAAAGTGTTCCAAGGTAGGAGTTTCCAGGGCTGGGGCAGAAACTCAATGATCTTATAAAGGCTCCTGCTCTGACATCTTCAGCATGTTGGCTTTTACCCTTGGCTCTGTCCTCATGGTTGCAAGATGGCTGTCAGAACTCCAAGTATTTCCTCCCTCCAAGACAATGTCCAAAAATCTCTATCTCTCCTTTTTTTTTTTTTTTTTTTTTTGAGATGGAGTCTCGCTCTGTCGCCCAGGCTGGAGTGCTGTGGCCGGATCTCAGCTCACTGCAAGCTCCGCCTCCCGGGTTCACGCCATTCTCCTGCCTCAGCCTCCCAAGTAGCTGGGACTACAGGCGCCCGCCACCTCGCCCGGCTAGTTTTTTGTATCTTTTAGTAGAGATGGGGTTTCACCGTGTTAGCCAGGATGGTCTCGATCTCCTGACCTCGTGATCCGCCCGTCTCGGCCTCCCAAAGTGCTGGGATTACAGGCTTGAGCCACCGCGCCCAGCCTATCTCTCCCTTTTTATCAGAGAGGAAAATCTTTCCCAGAAGCCTCCTGCGCACTTTTATTCAAGCTCCACTGCCCAAGATTGGGTCACCGACCAGTGCCCAGCTGTAAGGAGACTGGGGAGGTGAGTACCTAGGATTTTCGGTCTCTACAGTGGAAAAAAGGAGCTGGAATGACTACCTGGTAGGCAACCAAACATCCACTACAAGTAACAGTGATGGAAATAAAAAGCGATAATGACAGCTAACATGAATTATACTATTAATACATGTTAGACGTTGTTCTAAAGGGTTAACAGGAATTGGCTTAGTTCATCTCAAAAATACTACTGACGAGATCCGTATTATTGCAGTCCTCATTTTACAGGCAAGGAAACAGGCTCAGAGAGGCTTTAAAAACTTGCCTCCACCCCTGCCCCGCCCCCTGCCAAAAAAAGAAAAAAAGAAAAAACTTGTCCGCGGACCCCAGACCTCCGGTTAGAAAGCCCGCACTTGGCCTTTTGGAGACCGAGGGCCAATATATACCTGTAACTCCAATATATAAATTGGATGTAATAGGGATCCCTTTTTCCCTGACAGCAATTGTCTTGGATGCAGGAAACGGCTCCCGATTTTACTAATACATGAAGTTGAGCCTAGCGCTGTGTCTCCGGAGACAAGGCTGGTGAGAAAGTTAATCTCTGTCATTACGGGGAACCCTCCCTACCCAGAGAGTGGAGTGGAAATCCAGGGTCTGGTCTAGTCCTAACTGTTGAGGGGGGCCCTGAGACTTTCATCCATCCTGGTGACTTCCAGAAGGTTGATTGTCCTCTGCTCTCTCCCCAGGCTGACTTCCTGTTGCAGAACTTGGGATTCTTTTGTGTGTGTGTGTGTGTGTGTGATGGAATCTTGCTCTGTTGCCCAGGCTGGAAGGCAGTAGTGTGATCATATTAAATAGCTTCAATGACATCTCCAACTCCTAGACTCAAGGGATCGTCCCGCCTCTGCCTCCCGAGTAGCTGGCCTACGGGCATGGACCACCACACCCAGTGACTTGTTTGTTTTCTTATTATTGAGTTTTGAAAGTTGTTTATAAATTCTGGATACAAGGCTTGTTTTCGATAGGTAATTCGCAAATATTTTCTCGGTCCGCAGTTTCTCTTTTTTATTTTCTTAATGGTGTGATTCGATGATCAGAAGTGTTACGTTTTGATGAAGAGCAACTTGTCAATTTTATTCTTTTATGAGTCATGCTTTTGGTAGCATATCTACATAAACGTTTTTATTCGTCTGTTTATTGTCTGTATTTATTTTGAGACAGGGGCTCACTCTGTCACTCAGGCTGGAGTGCAGCAGTGCTACCACAATTCCCTGCAGCCTCAACTTCCCAGGTTCAATCAATCCTCCTACCTCAGGCTCCCAAGTAACTGGGACCACAGGCACGTGCCACCACGCCCAGCTAATTTTTTGTGTTTTTCGAAGAGACAGAATTTCACTATGTTGTCCCCAAGCTGGTCTCAAGATCCTGGGCTCAAGCGATCCACCAGCCTCGGCCTCCCAAAGTGTTAGGCTTACAGGCATAAGCCACCTCGCCCGGCCAATATTAACACTGTTAAACACCTTTATTAAGATATAATTCATAAACCATACGATTCACCCATGTAAAGTTACAATTCAATGGCTTTCATGTTCAAATGCCTGTGCTGGGATGAACACTTCAGCATGCACGTCACCAACTACAAGAGCTCGCCTTTTGTCCATAACTTTTTAAATGTAAAATTTACATGTAATGAAATTCACAGATCTTAAGTATATCATTTGATGAGTTTTGACAAAATTCATTCACCTGTGCAATGCAACTCTCTATCAAAATATAGAATCATCAAAATATAGAATAATCCAGCCGGGCATGGTGGCTCACGCCTGTAATCCCAGCACTTTGGGAGGCCGAGGCAGGTGGATCACAAGGTCAGGAGATCAAGACCATCCTGGCTAACACGGGGAAACCCCGTCTCTACTAAAAATACAAAAAAATTAGCTGGGCGTGGTGGCAGACACCTGTAGTCCCAGCTACTCGGGAGGCTGAGGCAGGAGAATGGTGTGAACCCGGGAGGCAGAGCTTACAGTGAACTGAGATCGCGCCACTGCACTCCAGCCTAGGCGATAGAGCAAGACTCCATCTCAAAAAAAAAAAAGGATATATATATATATACACACACACACACTTATATATAAAACAATCCCTGTGCTGGGATTACAGGAGTGAGTCACTACACCCAGCAAATTTATTCCTTTGCATTTGATTCTGTGTATTCACAGATTTGTACAATATCACCACAATCAGTTTTCAAACATTTTCATGCTCCCAAGGAGAAACCCCAGATGCCTTAACTGTCAGTGTCTCATCCTCCCATTCCCACCCTCCAAATCCCGACAAACAACCCCATCTACTTTCTGTCTGTATAGATTTGCCTATTGCGAACATTTCATATGAATAGAATCGTACCATTTGCGACCCTTCGTGTCGTCACTTAGCATTATGTTTCCAAGGTTCATCCACATCCCAGCATGCATCAGTATTTCATTTCCCTTTATTGCCAAATAATATCCCTTGTGTAGACACACCACATTTTATGTACCCATTATTAGTTGATGAATATTTGGGTCATACGAGTGGTTGATGAACATTTGGGTCATACGAGTCGTTGTGTGGATATATGTTTTCACTTCCCTCAGTTATACACCTGGGAATGAAATTGCTGGGTCATATGGTGACTGTATGTTCAAGCATTTGGGAACTCCTAGGCTGTTTTCCAAAGGGGCGGCACCACTTTGCATTTTCACCATCAGTGTGTGAGGTTTCTAATTTCTCAACATCCCCACCCACACTTGTTATTATCTGATGACAGCCATTTTAGTGCGTGTAAAGTAGCACCTCACTGTGGTTTTGATTTGCTTTTCCTCATGATGTTGAGCTCCTTTTTAAATTTGAGACAGGGTCACTCTCTTACCTAGGCTAAAGTATAATGGCACGATCACAGCTCACTGCAGCCTTGATCTCCTGGCTCAAGCAATTCTCCCGCATCAGCCCTCCAAGTAGCTGGGACTATAAGTGCACACCACCACACTCAGTTAATGGTTTTTATTTTTTGTAGAAATGCGGGTCTTCCTATGTTGCCCAGGCTGGTCTCAAACTCATGGGCTCAAGTGATCCTCCTACCTTGGCCTCCTAAAGTGCTAGAACTACAGGCATGAGTCACCACATACAGTCTGATAATTTTTTAATTGCTTTTGGTTACTTGTATTTCTTCTTTGGAGAACTGTCTATCCAAGTCCTTTGCTCATTTAAAAATTGGATAGTTGTATTATTATTATTAAGTCATAATTGTTGTATATTCTAGATATACTTCTCTTATCAGATATATGACTTGCAAAAATTTTCTTTCATTCTGTGGATTTTCTTTTCACTTTCTTGATGGTGTCCTTTAAAGCATGAAAGTTTTTAAATTTGATGATGTCTAGTATATCTGTTTTTGGTTTCATTGCATCTACTTTTGTGACATAGCTAAGAAACTACCACCTAAATCAATGTCAAGGAGATTTACATCTGTGGTTTCTATTTTTTATTTTATTTGTTTATTTTGGAGAAGGAGTCTCGCACTGTCGCCTGGGCTGGAGTGCAGTAACTTGATCTCGGCTCACTGCAACCTCTGCCTCCCGAGTAGCTGGGATTACAGGTGCCCACTACCATGCCCAGCTAATTTTTTGTATTTTTAGTAGAGATGGGATTTCACCATGTTGGCCAGGCTGGTCTCGAACTCCTGACCTTGTGATTCCCCCGCCTTGGCCTCCCAAAGTGCTGGGATTACAGGCGTGAGTCACCACGCCTGGCCTACATCTGTGGTTTCTTAGAGTTTTATATATTAACTCTCACATACAGGTTTTTGATTCATTTTGAGTTATTACTTTTTTTTTTTTTTTTGAGACGGAGTTTCACTCTTGTTGCCTAGGCTGGGGTGCATTGGCGCAATTTTGGCTCACTGTAACCCCTGCTTCCTGGGTTCAAGCAATTCTCCTGCCTCAGCCTCCTGAGTAGCTGGGATCACAGGTGCCTGCCACCACACCAGGCTAATTTTTATATTTTTGGTAGAGATGGGGTTTCACCATGTTGGCCAGGTTGATCTTGAACTCCTGACCTCAGGTGATCCACCCGCCTGGACCTCCCAAAGTGCTGGGATTATAGGCATGAGCCAACGCACCCAACCAAGTTAATTTTTATATATTGTGTGGTGTGAGGCAAGGATACAACTTTATTTATTTATTTATTTAGAGACAGGGTATCTCACTGTGTTGTCCAGGCTGGAGTGCATTGGTAGGGTCACAGCTCACTGCAGCCTTGACTTCCCCAGGCTCAGGTGATCCTCCCGCCTCAGCCTCCCAAGTAGCTGGGACTACAGGCAAACACCACGATGCCAGGCTAATTTTTGTATTTTCTGTAGAGATGAGGTTTTGCCATGTTGCCCAGGCTGGT